TCCTGGGACCCAGTGGCTTCTCAGGCGCCCGGTCTACGGCCTGCGGTCAGGCTCCCCGCGAGTGGCACGACACGCTACGTGCCACGTTTAGCAGACCTGCAGTTCTTTCCGTCCTCTGCTGACCCTTCACTGTTTGTGCGTTCCGGCCAGACTCCGTTCTACATCCTTGTCTACGTAGACGACCTGGTCTTCGCTACTCCTGACAGGGACGCACTGGCCTCTGTGAAGGCTGAGCTGCTGAAGAGACACACCTGCACTGACCTTGGAGAGCTGCGTCGCTATCTTGGCCTGCAGATCTCTAGGGACAGAGCAGCACGCACCATCACTCTGACCCAGTCACACTTGGTGCGTCAGGTCCTTCAGAGGTTCGGTCTTCAGTTCTCCTCTGCACAGCCCACACCTCTACCCGTAGACCATGGGCTCTCTGCTCCCGTTCCTGAGGAGCCAGTAGAGCCCAGTGGCCCCTACGCAGAGCTGGTGGGTTGCCTCATGTACCTGATGACTTGCACTCGCCCAGATCTCGCATACCCTCTCAGCATCCTGGCTCGCTTTGTGGCTACAGGCAGACACCGACCTCAGCACTGGTCTGCCGCTAAGAGGGTTTTGCGTTATCTTGCTAGTACATCAGGCATGGGGTTAGTGCTAGGAGGACGCAGGCCAGTGTCCTTACTGGACACACAGACGCTTCTTGGGCAGACGACGCTGAGACGCTCAGGTCGTCGCAGGGCTACTGTTTCAGCCTTGGTTCGGGTGCTATCTCTTGGAGATCCACTCGCTCGTCGTCTGTGGCTCAGTCTAGCTGTGAGGCTGAGATCTACGCTGGTGCCATGGCGGCACAGGAGCTCCGCTGGCTGACCTTCTTGCTCACAGACTTAGGTGAGCGGCCTAGCTCTGCCCCGGTCCTGTACGCTGACAACAGGGCCATGATACTCCTGTGTCAGGAGCCTCGGCTTGAGGGGCAGAGCGAAGCATATCCAGCTGCGGTACTTCCTCCTGCGCGAGCTACAGCAGCGCCGCCAGGCCCGCGTAGTTCACTTGGCCTCAGGTGCCAACACAGCTGATATCTTTACTAAGGCGCTTGCGCCTAAAGATCATCAGCGGCACTGTGTACAGCTTGGTCTTGTTCCTGTAGCTGCTCCCCTGTTAGGATCGCTGATTGTGTACTCTCTATTATATATGCTTGTCAGACTGGCCTTGTGGCCTTACCTCCAGTGGCTGGACTAGTAGTGCCACCCGGCTTGCCTTCAGTTTTGGTTGTATTCTTGCTGACTGGTCTCCAGACCCCTGCCTCAGTGGTTGGACTAGTAGTGCCGCCCTGAGCTGTATGCTTCTTGTTTAGTTTCACCCCTTGTCTAGCCTAGGGGTGTGTCAACTTATACATATTACTATGTAGAAGTTATAGGCTAGACTGAGGTATGCTTCTAGTGAGTACAACCAATAGTATTTGTTCTAGTTTTCCACCTCTAGTAATTATTCGTTTCTACGTTAACAAGAACGGCCTTCACTATTTTAACTTCCTCGCTTTAAAGACAGCACTTACACTAAAAGGCATTATTGATTTGGTTTTTACTCATACTACAGGCTGACTTTCAAACTCACACACGCAATCCCAAAACAGTATCGAGAACAAGCAAGAGGGAACCTAAACTGAGCTCTTGAATCCAACGGACAGATACCTCCGAGGAAGACATGAACAAATTGAGCCTTGAGGAAAGGCGGATCTTCACAGGAGTAGGGTGCAGTGGCTTTCGGAAGAAAGACAATCATCATGAGGCACTGTTGGGCACACTAAAAACGGTGCTTAGGGCCTTCATGATGGCTGGCTTCCCGAGTGTAGCCGGTTCAGGAGGGAGATGAGGGACGAGGGGTCTGAGGTGAGGCTTGGGCGGAGGGTGAAAGAGCAGACTTCAGAGTCAACTCCCCCGACAAAGACTACCTTCAGGATGGCTGTCTACACCGACTGTAGACGAACCAGGAGGGAAGGAGGGAGGCCGAGGACTAGGCGGATTCGGATATGTGACATGTGATTCGGATTAGGTTGAGAACGGGGAAGGATATGTGATTCGGATTCAGGAGAGGATCAGAGGGAAGGAGGGGAATCGAGGGAAGGGTCGGAAGCGCATGAGGGGTACTCGAGGTGATTGCTGCTGACTCGATTGGCTGCTGAGTCATGAGAGGACTCGGGAGGTTGAGAGTGCAGAGAGGAGAGGCCGCGGTGAGTGAGGAGGTAAGCAAAAGCAGCAGACAGCCACGGAAGGATTGGCGTCATAAGCTAAGCAGGATTCGGGCTGCTGCTGCTGCTGCTCCTCTTTACTGCTGCTGCTGCTGCAGCATGAGGCGCAGCTGGGCTCCTTCTGCAGGTGCTGCAGACCGCGGTGATGGTCGACAGCTCGCGCACCAGCGATACCAGCATATCCGCGCGCTGCTGCGCGTTCTCCAAGGAACCCGCGGAACCCGCGGAGTCCGCGGAGCCGGCGGAGACAGCGTCGGAGGTCGTGCCAGCGGCGGCGCAGCCAGATTCGCTGGCCGAAGCGCTGGGCGTGACGTGGCAGGCGGAGACGGAGCGCGACACGCTGCCGTACGACGACAACGGCGACGGCGGCGCCGCCAGAAACTCCGCGGCGGCTGACGCGGCGGCGGGCACGGCGGGAGCAGCGGGCGCGGGGAACACGGGTGGGAACGTTGGTGGCGACGGCACGAACTGAATCCCCTCGTCCTCTAGGGGGAAGAACGGGAAGGCGCTCTCGAGCGCAGCGGCGGAACCGGAATCGCAGGCGAAGGCGGAGTCGTGGGAGGGGAGGCGGATACCGAAGCGGATGATGAGGAGAGGCCGAAGAGCTCCTCATCGGAGAGATTAAAGGCGTCGTCGAAGCGCGCCGAGTCGGACTTCTCGATCTCGTCGAAGAGAGCCGAATCGTCGGCCGACGGGCACTTCTCCATCTCCGGCCAGTCGAGCTCTGGGAGCTCCAGAATTGCACAGCTGTCGCCGCCGTTGTCACTGGCGACGTTGTCGCATGATGCGACGAGGAGGTCGTCGCCAGCGGAGAGAGTGGGGACAGAGGAGAGGGGAGAGGGAGAGGAGACAGGCGCGATCGGCGCCGCAGGTGCGCGAGCAGGAGCGGAAACGGGAGCGGGAACGGGAGCGGGAGCGGGAGCGGGGGTGGGGACAGCTGGCGCGACGGAGGGAGCGAGGGGAAGGAGCCCGGGCGCGGGGCATTCGGCGAAGAGCACGTTAGCGCCCGCGATCTCCAGCTGCACCCACTCGCTGCTGAACGTCTTCACTTCCGCGTCCGCGCCCGCGAGCTCCGCGGTAGATGCGCCGTTCGCCGCCGCCGCGAGGTTGCGCGCTGCGCGCAGCAGAGACTCCGCGGTCGCGCGGGAGACCACGACGGGGCGCATGTGGATGCCGCCGCCGACGGCGGTCGCCGCCGTGTGCGGGAAGTTGAGGCGGCGCTCCGCGCCGTGCGCGCCGTGCAGCATGAGCGCGGCGGTGTCGTAGACTCGCGCGGCCTCCTCCGCAGAGCTGTAGGACCCCAGCCACACGCGCGCGCGCGTGCGCGGCTCGCGGATCTCGCACACCCACTTGCCCCACGAGCGCTGCCGCACGCCCCGGTAGCGCTTGGCGGAGGGCTGGTTCGGGTGCTCGTTTTGAGAAGACGCGGCAACGGCGGCGGAGAGGGCGGGGGAGGAGGAGGGGGAAGAGGAGAAGACTCCGGAGAGGAAAGTGGAGTCAGAGGAAAGGCAGGGAGGGAGAGCAGCAGCTTGTGAGGGGACGACGCAAGACTCGTTAGAGACCTTTGCGCTTGAGAGGGTTTGAAGATAGAAGAACGGAATCCATGGTGGCCATATTTCGAGTCGTCCGAGTCAAGTTGATGTGTTCCGTGCTCTCGTTTTGAAAGTACTTAAGTTGCTGCTGCTTGCTGCTCTCGCTCCCTGCCGATCCTTGGTTGATGGAGAAACTAGTCTGGTCGAAAGACGGTCTTGGATGGACGCTTGATTGCTATATCTGGATAAACAGAATGACGAGAAAGCGGGAGATAAATGGAGCGGTGGAAGTTCGGTGCTGCGTCGGCTTCGATCGAGGAGGTTGAGAGCGTTGAGGTAGGGTGGAGTGGGATTGGGTGCGAGTGAGGGGAATTTGGCGAGGGCAGCCGAGTCTAACTCCCTCCCTCACTCGGTTTTTCCAGATGACACGAATTGCCGAGATTCGACGCGGAGAGATGACCCGCACAGATCGAGCCACGTCGACACGGAGACGAAAAAAACGCGGTTCCCTCCAGAGCCTGCGACGCGGAGTCGTGCTGCCCAGGGCTGGGTTTTGGTGGGGGGCGCGGAAGGAGTGTCCGGGTGGGCACCGACCACGCAAGTGCCGCAGTCCCACGTGAACAGTTGCAGGACTTACCAGGCTGGCGTGGACTGGAAGCAGACGGCTAAACGCCAAACAGCACTGCCTGAGGAGAAAACTAACGGCACTGCAGATATGTAACGCTTCTAGCGACAAGGTACGGAAATTCGACGTCCGTCGTCTGAGATGCCAGTCGCGATTTGAAATTTTGACCGTGCGGAATAGCGGCGACCGGTACTATGACTTCGCGAGCGAGAATGCTGACGGTTTGCAGTCAAATGAGCTTCTGAAACAAGCAGCAAGTGCAACGCCGACAGAAGAACAGCGAAGGTACAGTTCCACCGACATTACGTGGCAATTGGCACTGTGGAGATCAAATGTGCACTATGCTGGACAATTATCCTGCCCAGTGGTCAATTTGCCTTGGCACGGCAGGTGGGTCCTTCTGCCCGAAAACGCGCACCAAAGTCTGTTCTTGACTGGCATCTGGTGTAGGTGAGAATTGGAAGTGGGGAAAACTGCAAAACTTCAGCACTGTCCAGAGCGCGTTACAGTAAGGGTGAGTATGACAATGAACGTTGATGAAGTTTATATATAACGATTGCTTGCTACTTCACGCTAAAAACGAGATTTCATGAGGTGCTTACACAAACACAATAATAGCTGCATTTTATAATAAGCCCCAAAGCCTTGGCTGTTTAGAGGAACACCGGTGGATTGTATAGATTGGTTGCATAGCCTTTATACCATAGACATGCAACTACATATCCTCCTATCCTCAAGTGCGGCCATTGCGATGCCACCGCCACGACTGCAACCGGAGCTTCACTATAAGCAGAGCAAGCAAGCGGAAGAAGATGAGCATGGCAACGAGGATGCACGCTTCCAGCCACCCACTCCCCGGTAACGGATTCCTCAGGCCCGATAGCTCAAGAGTAGCGGCACACGAGCACGTGTTGGCTGCGGTGCTGCTGCTCGTGTTGGAAGCGCTACAGTTGCCAGTGAACGATTCGGCAGAATCAAAGTTGATCCGCATTAGCAACTGAGGAAAGGAGAGTGTTCGATATTGGGGGGGAGGGGGAAGGGGGGAAGGGTGTTGGGCGTGAGTGTGGTTGAGTGCAGGGGTGGTGTAGGCAGGCCGGAGAAGGGTAGGTGTGAAGAGAAGGAGAGGGGTGAAGGAGAAAGGCGATGTATGCTATGCTAGTGTGGAACAACATATGAGGCAAGGTCGCATATAGGAGGGGGGAAGGTCGCAAATATGAATGCCTACAAGGTGAGCACTGAACAGAAAGGAGGGAGGAGGCAAACCTTGTCAACGCAAGTCGAGAAGGAGTGGTAGTGAAGTGGTCCTTGGTCCCACCCTCAAAGTGAGGAGAGTGTGTGTGATGGAGTGCAGGAGGAAGACCCACCTTGTTGATGCAAGCCGAGAGAAAGAGAGGTAGTGCGTCCATCCCACCCACACGTGAGGGGGGAGTGGTTGATAGCGTGCATGAGCAAGTGTGCACGCAGGGGAAGTGTGCACGCAGGAGGTACAAGGGAGACGACCCACCTTGTTAACATAGGTTGAGAAAGAGAGGTACTGCGTCCACCCCACCCACGCCGGGGGATTGAGAGATAAGAAATGCACCACCATAACCGACAGCAGCTGCAGAATAGCCGCAATCGAAATCGCCTGTTTCACTGTAGACGTCGCAGTCCCCACCGCCATGCCTATAGATGATGCCACCATTGTATCGAGTACAAGCACTAAAGTGAATAAGACGAACCGGCCGCCCGACGGGTTGAGCCCGGTCATCCAATAGACGATGCAGCTGTAGAAGACGGGCGGCAGGATCTCGTACGGCAGGCTGAGCAGCGTCCGGGCGGCGTAGTACGCGGAGATATGATACACTCCGTCCTCTTGCTCTTTTTGGACTGACTTGCGGTCCTCCAGGAAGGTGATGACGGAGGTGAGCATGGGGATGAGCCCCCAGAAGAACTGTGAGAAGAAGATGAGCCCCGCCATATCGCGAATGCCCTCGGCTGTGGTTGGATCGCGCTTGTACCAGAGGCAACCTGGGATGACATGGGGCAAGCGGTTGGAGGGCGGATGGAACTTGGAAGGGTGGGAATGAGAGAGGGAGGTGAGCATGGGGATGATCCCCCAGAAGAAGTGTGAGAAGAAGATGAGCCCCGCCATGCCGCGAATGCACATGGCTGTGGTTGGATCGTGCTTGCACCACAGGCAGCCTGGGATGAGGGGGATGAGGGGGATGGGGGGGACGAGGGGGATCGGGGGGATGGGGGGGATAGGGGGATGGGGGGGATGGGGGGGATGAGGGGGATGGGGGGATGGGGGGGATGGGGGGATGAGGGGGATGGGGGGGATGAGGGGGATGGGGGGATGAGGGGGATGGGGGGGATGGGGGGATGGGGGGATGAGGGGGATGGGGAGGATGGGGGGGATGGGGGGATGAGGGGGATGGGGGATGAGGGGGATGGGGAGGATGAGGATGATCCTTGAACATCTAGTCTGCTTGATTCACCTCTCGGTACGACCGCAGCTGCAGCTGCGCCTTAGTGCGTCAACCACTCTCACCTGCCAGCATGCCTCACCAGGCAGCAAGGTGCAGACGAAAAGGCTGACCGCCACGACGGCCACAAATATCCAGTCCTGATTCACCACCCGGTACGACAGCAGGTGCCCTAGGGTCTCTACCAGTCTCACCTGCCAGCATGCCTCACCTGGCAATAAGGTGCAAACGAGCAGGCTGACCGCCACGACGGCCACAAATATCCAGTCCTGATTCACCACCCGGTACGACAGCAGGTGCCCTAGGGTCTCTACCAGTCTCACCTGCCAGCATGCCTCACCTGGCAATAAGGTGCAAACGAGCAGGCTGACCGCCACGACGGCCACAAATATCCAGTCCTGATTCACCACCCGGTACGACAGCACGTGCCCTAGGGTCTCTACCAGTCTCACCTGCCAGCATGCCTCACCTGGCAATAAGGTGCAAACGAGCAGGCTGACCGCCACGACGGCCACAAATATCCAGTCCTGATTCACCACCCGGTACGACCGCACGTGCCCTAGGGTCTCTACCAGTCTCACCTGCCAGCATGCCTCACCTGGCAATAAGGTGCAAACGAGCAGGCTGACCGCCACGACGGCCACAAATATCCAGTCCTGATTCACCACCCGGTACGACCGCACGTGCCCTAGGGTCTCTACCAGTCTCACCTGCCAGCATGCCTCACCTGGCAATAAGGTGCAAACGAGCAGGCTGACCGCCACGACGGCCACAAATATCCAGTCCTGATTCACCACCCGGTACGACAGCAGGTGCCCTAGGGTCTCTTCCAGTCTCACCTGCCAGCATGCCTCACCTGGCAATAAGGTGCAAACGAGCAGGCTGACCGCCACGACGGCCACAAATATCCAGTCCTGATTCACCACCCGGTACGACAGCAGGTGCCCTAGGGTCTCTACCAGTCTCACCTGCCAGCATGCCTCACCTGGCAATAAGGTGCAAACGAGCAGGCTGACCGCCACGACGGCCACAAATATCCAGTCCTGATTCACCACCCGGTACGACCGCACGTGCCCTAGGGTCTCTACCAGTCTCACCTGCCAGCATGCCTCACCTGGCAATAAGGTGCAAACGAGCAGGCTGACCGCCACGACGGCCACAAATATCCAGTCCTGATTCACCACCCGGTACGACAGCAGGTGCCCTAGGGTCTCTACCAGTCTCACCTGCCAGCATGCCTCACCTGGCAATAAGGTGCAAACGAGCAGGCTGACCGCCACGACGGCCACAAATATCCAGTCCTGATTCACCACCCGGTACGACAGCAGGTGCCCTAGGGTCTCTTCCAGTCTCACCTGCCAGCATGCCTCACCTGGCAATAAGGTGCAAACGAGCAGGCTGACCGCCACGACGGCCACAAATATCCAGTCCTGATTCACCACCCGGTACGACAGCAGGTGCCCTAGGGTCTCTTCCAGTCTCACCTGCCAGCATGCCTCACCTGGCAATAAGGTGCAAACGAGCAGGCTGACCGCCACGACGGCCACAAATATCCAGTCCTGATTCACCACCCGGTACGACCGCACGTGCCATAGGGTCTCTACCAGTCTCACCTGCCAGCATGCCTCACCTGGCAATAAGGTGCAAACGAGCAGGCTGACCGCCACAACAGCCACAAATATCCAGTCCTGATTCACCACCCGGTACGACAGCAGGTGCCGCTGCGCCAGCACCCGAAACTGCAAACCCCACGACGTTACCCACCTCTTCCCACTCCCTCCTCCTCCTCGTCCGCCACCTCCGATTCCCCCTCCCCCCCCCCCACTCACTCCCCTCCAGTCCATACTCGCATCGACATCCCTCACTCTAGTACCCTCCCCCACTCCCTCCCCCACCTCCACATCCCCATTCCCCTGACCCTCACCCCCCTCCCCGCTTTTAGCAGACGCCTGGGACACTGTGGCAGCTGTCGAGGGCATGGCAGCCCGCTCTATCTCCCTGGCAGCGTCCCCGGTGGCCCAGAGGCGGATGAGGTTGGTGGACGTGCCGAAGTGAATGGACGCATCTGCTGCTTCGGGGGCTGTCAGATCCTGTTGGTGAAGGGGAGAGGGTTGGGAATGGGGAGGGGAATGTAAGGTCAGCATCGCCGGTGGCCCACAAACGGATGAGGTTGGTGGACGTGCCAAAGTGAATGGATGCATCTGCTGCTTCGGGGGCTGTCAGATCCTGTTGGTGAAGGGGAGAGGGTTGGGAATGGGGAGGGGAATGTAAGGTCAGCATCGCCGGTGGCCCACAAACGGATGAGGTTGGTGGACGTGCCAAAGTGAATGGACGCATCTGCTGCTTCCGGGGCTGTCAGATCCTGTTGGTGAAGGGGAGAGGGTTGGGAATGGGGAGGGGAATGTAAGGTCAGCATCGCCGGTGGCCCACAAACGGATGAGGTTGGTGGACGTGCCAAAGTGAATGGACGCATCTGCTGCTTCGGGGGCTGTCAGATCCTGTTGGTGAAGGGGAGAGGGTTGGGAATGGGGAGGGGAATGTAAGGTCAGCATCGCCGGTGGCCCACAAACGGATGAGGTTGGTGGACGTGCCAAAGTGAATGGACGCATCTGCTGCTTCGGGGGCTGTCAGATCCTGTTGGTGAAGGGGAGAGGGTTGGGAATGGGGAGGGGAATGTAAGGTCAGCATCGCCGGTGGCCCACAAACGGATGAGGTTGGTGGACGTGCCAAAGTGAATGGACGCATCTGCTGCTTCGGGGGCTGTCAGATCCTGTTGGTGAAGGGGAGAGGGTTGGGAATGGGGATTAGGAAATGGGGGATGTAAGAGCAGTGCTCTATCTCCCTGGCAGCATCCCCCGTGCCCCAGAGGCGGATGAGGTTGGTGGACGTGTTTTGTTTTTGAGAATTCTCAAAAACAGAGGCGGATGAGGCTGGTGGACGCGCTGAAATGGGTGGACGCGCTGAAATGGATGGACGTGCTGAAATGGGTGGACGCGTCCGCTGCCTTGGGAGCTGTGAGGTCCTGCTTGGTGCAAAGTGGAACAGAGAGAGGGAGCGAGACGAGGGATCAGGAATATTGCCCTCTATCTCCCTGGCAGCGTCCCCGGTGGCCCAGAGGCGGATGAGGTTGGTGGAGGAGCCGAAAAGGATGGTCGCGTCCGCTGCTTCAGGGGCAGAGGAGGACTCTGGCGGAAGAGCTCAGCTCAGCAGCACTGGTATTGGCCCCCATGGTATGGCCGATGGAGTCAAAGTACAGCAGAGCAGAGCGGGCAGGCGCACGGTTCGGTTAGGGAGTAGGGAGGAGTGGAAGACAGCGAGGGCCATAGGGTTATGGCAGGGAGAGGCATATGGTGTACGGAGCAGGGGGCAGCGAGGAGTGGAGTGGAGCACTCACCAGGAAGAACTCAGCAGCGCTTGCCCCCATGGTGTAGCTGATGGAGTCAAAGTAGGGCAGCGCGGCGTGGGCAGAGGAACCCCCCACAGTGGGGCTAGGGAGCAACCAGAAAGACGATTTTTGAGTCGGCTAAAAAATCACCTGGCAGAGCGGCGTGGGCAGAGGAGGCCAACAGTGGGGCTGGGGAGCAACCAGAACGACGGTAAGAAAGGAGCAGGCACTCACAAGGAAGAACTCTGCAGCACTGGTGTCGGCCCCCCCATGGTGTAGCCGATGGAGTCAAAGTAGGGTAGCGCGGCACCCGCAGCGCCGAAGAAGATGGGATTGCCGTCGGTGATGAGCAGCAGATGCGTGAAGAGGGAAGGTGTGTGGAGAGGGAGAGAGGGGGGGGGCTCGGGGGCGTTCAGAAAGACTTATGGGGAACTGGAGCAGGGGGTGGGAGGGAGGGGCTCACCAGAAAGAATTCGGCAGCGCTTGTATCAGCTCCCATGGTGTAGCCGATGGAGTCAAAGTAGGGTAGAGCAGCGCCCGCTGCGCCAAAGAAGATGGGGTTACCGTCGGTGATGAGCAGCAGATGCGTGAAGAGGGAGAACATCTTGGCGGATGGCTGCTTCATGGTGGCTACTACGGATCGGCCGGCTAAGGCGTATGAGTGCAGGGCTCGTGTAATGCGGAGGGCCATAGCTCCATCGAGACTGCACAGAGGAAGAGCGGATGAGCAGCAGGTGAGTGAAGAGGGAGAACATCTTGGCGGACGGCTGGTTCAGCATGGTCACCACTGATCTGCCTGCTAGCGCATAGGAGTGCAGCGCCCTGGTGATTCGCAGGGCCATAGCTCCATCCAGACTGGGACCAGGAGCGGGGGGGAAGTGGGGAGAGGGGGGAAGGATGAGGGAAGAAGGTTGGATTGCCGTGGGTGATGAGCAGCAGCACGTGCGTGAAGGGGGGCAACATCTTGGCCGAGGGCTGCTTCATTGTTGCTACCACTGATCTGCCTGTTAGCGCGATTTGAGTCGACTCAAAACACATCTGCCTGCTGCTGGCGCGTAGGAGTGGAGTGAGCGGGTGATTCGCAGGGCCATAGCGCCATCCAGGCTGGGAAATGGCCCTGCGATTCACCCGCAGGGTTCATCCGGGTCCGGATGGGTTCTGCGAATCACCCGCAGGGCCATAGCGCCATCCAGGCTGGGACATGGTGGGGGGAGGGGGTGAAAAAGAAAGCAAACACGGGGTTGCTGTGGGTGATGAGCAGCAGATGCGTGAAGAGGGAGAGCATCTTGGCCTACGGGTGGTTCATCGTGGCCTCCACTGATCTGCCTGCAAGGGCGTACGAGTGCAGGGCTCGATTGCCGCGCAGGGCTCGACTGACACGCAGGGCTCAACTGACGCGCAGGCCTCGACTGACGTGCAGGGCCATTGCACCATCCAACCTGAGAGAGGGAAGGGGGTGGCATGCCAGGTGCGTGAAGAGGGAGAACATCTTGGTGGACGGCTGCTTCATCGTTGCTACCAGTGACCGGCCCACCAGGGCATAGGAGTGCAGGGCTTGGGTAAAGCACAGGGCCATAGCTCCTTTGAGACTGGCAGGAGATCGGGAAGGAGGAATGGAAGAAGACGAGGGAAGAGGGAAGAGGGAAGGAGGAAGAGGGAAGAGGGAAGAGGGAAGAGAAAGAACATCTTGGCGGATGGCTGCTTCATCGTCGCTGCTACTACTGATCTGCCTGCTTGTGCGTAGGAATGCAGTGCGCGGGTTATACCAAGGGAGTGCAGGGCGCGCGCGGGTGATGTGCAGGGCCATGGCACCGTCAGGAACGTTGGGGGATTGGGAAGGGGGGCTGGAAGAAGAAGTGCGAAGAGGGAGAAGTGCACGGTCCTTCCTACTTTAGAGCCATGGCGTCATCTTTTGAGGCGCCTAAAAATAGACTGCTTGGCGTGATCGAGACTGGGTGAAAGAGAGGGTGAGAAAAGGGAGGGAGGGAGGCATCATGTGGGGATTGACATTGGGGGGGAGGCATCATGTGGGGGGGAATCGACATTGGGGGGGAGGCATCATGTGGGGATTGACATTGGGGGGGGAGGCATCATGTGGGGGGGAATTGACATTGGGGGGGAGGCATGAGGCATGAGGCATGAGGCATGAGGCATGAGGCATGAGGCATGAGGCATGAGGCATGAGGCATGAGGCATGAGGCATGAGGCATGAGGCATGAGGCATGAGGCATGAGGCATGAGGCATGAGGCATGAGGCATGAGGCATGAGGCATGAGGCATGAGGCATGAGGCATGAGGCATGAGGCATGAGGCATGAGGCATGAGGCATGAGGCATGAGGCATGAGGCATGAGGCATGAGGCATGAGGCATGATGAGGCATGAGGCATGAGGCATGAGGCATGAGGCATGAGGCATGAGGCATGAGGCATGAGGCATGAGGCATGAGGCATGAGGCATGAGGCATGAGGCATGAGGCATGAGGCATGAGGCATGAGGCATGAGGCATGAGGCATGAGGCATGAAGGCATGAGGCATGAGGCATGAGGCATGAGGCATGAGGCATGAGGCATGAGGCATGAGGCATGAGGCATGAGGCATGAGGCATGAGGCATGAGGCATGAGGCATGAGGCATGAGGCATGAGGCATGAGGCATGAGGCATGAGGCATGAGGCATGAGGCATGAGGCATGAGGCATGAGGGCATGAGGCATGAGGCATGAGGCATGAGGCATGAGGCATGAGGCATGAGGCATGAGGCATGAGGCATGAGGCATGAGGCATGAGGCATGAGGCATGAGGCATGAGGCATGAGGCATGAGGCATGAGGCATGAGGCATGAGGCATGAGGCATGGATGAGGCATGAGGCATGAGGCATGAGGCATGAGGCATGAGGCATGAGGGCATGAGGCATGAGGCATGAGGCATGAGGCATGAGGCATGAAGGCATGAGGCATGAGGCATGAGGCATGAGGCATGAGGCATGAGGCATGAGGCATGAGGCATGAGGCATGAGGCATGAGGCATGAGGGCATGAGGCATGAGGCATGAGGCATGAGGCATGAGGCATGAGGCATGAGGCATGAGGCATGAGGCATGAGGCATGAGGCATGAGGCATGAGGCATGAGGCATGAGGCATGAGGCATGAGGCATGAGGCATGAGGCATGAGGGCCAACCCTGAGCGTCGCTGGACATGATAGAAGATGAGCAGCAGCAGCAGCGGCGGGTTGCCGATGACCTGCACGCCAGGGCTAAGGGTAACAAACTCACCCTGACGGCCCATGAGGATCTTCGCGTGGTTCTTATAACCCTCTACTGGCGCCTGTTCCTCAGACCAGATGTACGCCCCCCCTCCGTGAGGACTCTATTTTTGAGGCGCCTCAAAAATAGACTCCTCACGCGAGGATCTTCGCCTGGTTCTTACAACCCTCTACTGGCGCCTGTTCCTCAGACCAGATGTACGCCCCCCCTCCCCCCAATCCTCGCCCCGAGGTCGGTTCATCCAGCAGCAGCAGCGGCGGGTTGACGATCATCTGCACTCTGGTGGCCAGAAAAGGCCACCAATTGCTTACCTCCTGATGTAACAATGTAGACCCCCCCCCCCCCCACCTACCCTGATGTCGGCTCGTCCAGCAGCAGCAGCGGCGGGTTGACGATCATCTGCACGCCGATGGCCAGCCGCCTAAGCTCGTTGTACAGCACAGCGTTGCGCCCCGTGCGCCCTATCACCTTGTCCGCACAGCTGGGGTTGTGAGGGGAGGGGACAGAGGGAGCAAGGAGAGGGGGAGGGGAGGGGAAAAGGTGAAGGAAAAGAGGACGAAAGGTGGGGTGCGCAAGGATTTGAGACTGAGAGGTGGGTCTTAGGATGCAAGGGAGTGGGAGAGGATGGGAGGATATGGTAGAGAAGGGGTGGCGACTCTTGAGTCGAATCAAGAGCTACCTCGGGAGGGGGGAGCAGGAGAGGCAGGTATGCAAACCTAGCACCCACTGTGTGAACTTGGTAGAGTATAAGAGGGGGAGCTAGGGATTAATTACAGGACTACCACCCCCCGGCACTCCCGGTGTGAGCTCCAGCTGGTCCAGCACGGGCTCCACTCGCACTCTCTGGTCGATCTCCTCCGTGCCCTCATTGAACCCAATGCTGTGCTGTCACAACTGCCACCCACCCCCCCACCTACCCACGCACCCACCCTCCCACGCATCTACCCTCCCACCCTCCCACGCATCCACCCTCCCACCCTCCCACCCTCCCACCCTCCCACCCATCTACCCTCCCACCCTCCCCCGGGCACTCACTGCATGAGCTCCAGCTGGGCCAGCACGTGCTCCACTCGCACTCTCCGGTCGATCTCCTCCGTACCCGCCAGCCATTGGGTTCTATAATGACACAACCACGCTCACTGTGGGCAACCAGCACACACGGTTCGTTCACGAGAACCCCACACTCACGGTGTGAGCTCCAGCGAGTCGAGCACGTGCTCCACGTGCACTATCTGATCGTTTGAGGCTCACGGGGAGCACGTGCTCCACGTGCCTCAAAAGTCGTGCTCCACGTGCACTATCTGATCGTTTGAGGCTCACGGGGAGCACGTGCTCCACGTGCCTCAAAAGTCGTGCTCCACGTGCACTATCTGATCGCATCGATCTCATCTGTGCTCTCATCGAACCCAATGCTGTCACAACTACCACCCACCCGCCCACCCCGCATCACTCAACTGTGTGAGCTCGAGGGAGTCCAGCACGTGCTCCACACGAACTATCTGGTCGATCTCCTCTGTGCCCTCTGGCAGCCGCAGCATGGCCGCGAACATGAGCGTCTCCTTCACCTGGAAGGCGAGGGGGGGGGGAGGGAGGGTGGGCCGGGGAGTGGGGATGGGGGGGGAGGGGATGGGGACGGGAGAGGAGGGGAGGTTGAGGGAGAGGAGGAGGGAAGCGCCGTGTCTCTTGGATCTCCTCGGTGCCCTCTGGCAGTCGCAGCATAGCGGCAAACATGAGCGTCTCCTTCACCTGGGGGGGTGCAGGGAAGAACATAGGGGTCGCAGGAGGGAAGCGCCCTCTGGCAGCCGCAGCACCATGGCCGCGAACACGAGCGCCTCCTTCACCTGGAAGGCGGGGGAGGGTGGGGGGAAGGAGCGTTGCGGAGTGAGATATGCACACAGAGAGCCGTTGTCGCCCTACAGGACAGACAGCAAAAAATCCCCACCATCCAACCAATCCAAGCGATCCTCACCGTCAGATCGGCCTGCACGCCAGCACTCACCGTCAGATTCCCCTTGTATCAAATCCTCACCGTCAAATTGACCAATCAAAGTGATCCTCACCGTCAGATTGGCCTGCAGGTCCACGTCGTTCTCCACGAACCCGATCTCTCGCCTCAGCGTCGCCCCGAACGGCTTTCCGCTGAACTCGATGCTGCCCCGGAAGTTGGGGTCGTCCTGCAGCCGTCCCGCCAGCATGTGAAGAAGAAGGGACTTGCCCGAGCCTTCGGGACTGTGAGGGTTAAAGGGAAGGTAGGGAAGAGGGAGGGGGAGATGCACTTCAAAAGGCTTTCCGCTGAACTCGATGCTGCCCCGGAAGTTGGGGTCGTCCTGCAGCCGTCCCGCCAGCATGTGAAGAAGAAGGGACTTGCCCGAGCCTTCGGGACTGTGAGGGTTAAAGGGAAGGTAGGGAAGAGGGAGGGGGAGATGCACTTCAAAAGGCTTTCCGCTGAACTCGATGCTGCCCCGGAAGTTGGGGTCGTCCTGCAGCCGTCCCGCCAGCATGTGAAGAAGAAGGGACTTGCCCGAGCCTTCGGGACTGTGAGGGTTAAAGGGAAGGTAGGGAAGAGGGAGGGGAGATGCACTTCAAAAGGCTTTCCGCTGAACTCGATGCTGCCCCGGAAGTTGGGGTCGTCCTGCAGCCGTCCCGCCAGCATGTGAAGAAGAAGGGACTTGCCCGAGCCTTCGGGACTGTGAGGGTTAAAGGGAAGGTAGGGAAGAGGGAGGGGGAGATGCACTTCAAAAGGCTTTCCGCTGAACTCGATGCTGCCCCGGAAGTTGGGGTCGTCCTGCAGCCGTCCCGCCAGCATGTGAAGAAGAAGGGACTTGCCCGAGCCTTCGGGACTGTGAGGGTTAAAGGGAAGGTAGGGAAGAGGGAGGGGGAGATGCACTTCAAAAGGCTTTCCGCTGAACTCGATGCTGCCCCGGAAGTTGGGGTCGTCCTGCAGCCGTCCCGCCAGCATGTGAAGAAGAAGGGACTTGCCCGAGCCTTCGGGACTGTGAGGGTTAAAGGGAAGGTAGGGAAGAGGGAGGGGGAGATGCACTTCAAAAGGCTTTCCGCTGAACTCGATGCTGCCCGGAAGTTGGGGTCGTCCTGCAGCCGTCCCGCCAGCATGTGAAGAAGAAGGGACTTGCCCGAGCCTTCGGGACTGTGAGGGTTAAAGGGAAGGTAGGGAAGAGGGAGGGGGAGATGCACTTCAAAAGGCTTTCCGCTGAACTCGATGCTGCCCCGGAAGTTGGGGTCATCCTGCAGCTGCCCCGCCAGCATGTGAAGAAGAAGGGACTTGCCCGAGCCTTCAGGTCTGGCGGATACGGGAAAGAACGGCGAGGGATCACAATTGGGGTCGCCTCGCCCTGCACCGCCCCGCCAACAGGGACTTGCCCGAGCCCCATGGCCTGGATGGACGAGGGGGGCGGGAGGGAGGGAGGGAGGGAGGGAGGGAGGGAGGGAGGGAGGGAGGAGGGAGGGAGGGAGGGAGGGAGGGAGGGAGGGAGGGAGGGAGGGAGGGAGGGAGGGAGGGAGGGAGGGAGGGAGGGAGGGAGGGAGGGAGGGAGGGAGGGAGGGAGGAGGGAGGGAGGGAGGGAGGGAGGAGGGAGGGAGGGAGGGGAGGGAGGGAGGGAGGGAGGGAGGGGAGGGAGGGAGGGAGGGAGGGAGGGAGGGAGGAGGGAGGGAGGGAGGGAGGGAGGGAGGGAGGGAGGGAGGGGACAGAGGAAGGGCGGGAGGGGACGGGAGGGGTCGTCCTGCAACCGCCCTGCCACCATGTGCAGCAGTAGAAGGATTTCCCCAATCCGCATTATCCAATCCACATTATCCAATCCACATTATCCTATCCACATTATCCAATCCAAATTATCCAATCCACATTATCCAATCCACATTATCCAGTCTCACCCCCTGAAACTAATGCACTTTGCGACGAGCGCATCCAACGCATTACCCCAGCCAATCTCACCCCCTGAAAGTATGATGGCTCACCCCATGATGGGGTGAGCCACCCCTCCAGTGACGTTCATCACGACCTTCTTGCGGTAGATGGTGGCAGCTAAGACACAATTCAGCCTCACCCCATCATCACCCCGGCTCACCCCATCATCACCCCTGCTCACCCCATCATCACCCCGGCTCACCCCATCATCACCCCGGCTCACCCCATCATCACCCCGGCTCACCCCATCATCACCCCGGCTCACCCCATCATCACCCCGGCTCACCCCATCATCACCCCGGCTCACCCCATGACGGCCAGCAGGTTGCCCGGCGCCACGCCCCCTGTGACGTTCATCATGACCTTCTTGCGGTAGATGGTGGCGTCGTCCTCCGCGCGCAGGCAGCACCACTTGGACTGTGGGGAGGGGATGCGGGGCGATGGGGAAATGGGGGGATGTTACACGGGGGCATGGGGGAGATGGTAGATGGTCGCATCGTCCTCCGCGCGCAGGCAGCACCACTTGGACTGGCGCCATGGGGGAACGAGGGGGGAGGCGGGGAAATTGGGGGGGGCAGGGGGTTAGGGGGAGATGGAAAACGCGGCATTGGGCGGATGCGGAGGGGGAGGTCGGGGGGGGAGGGGAAGGGGGGTGGAAGGGCGTCGTCTTGTACCGGCAGGCAGCAGCACGGGGACTGCAGGCAAGGGGAGATGGGGAGACTGGGGACGTGATGGGGCCTTCCGCCGCGCGCAGGCAGCAGCACCGGGACTGGAGGCAGTTTTGAGTCGAATCTAAGGCATGGGGAGATGGGGGAATGCGGAACGGGGGGAAGGGGGGACTGGGGACGGGATGGGACCTTCCCCCGCGCGCAGGTAGCACAAAGCATGGCGGTAAGTGTTTGAGTAATGATGCAAATCGGCACTTAAGTGCGCTTCAAGTACGCTAAAAGTACGTGTCAAGTACGCACATTGGTTGAAGGCACGGAGTACTGTAGCCGTGTCCACGTCACCGACATCCCTTCCGCGACGAAACCCCTCTGCGACGGCTGCGACGCCAACGCCTTGACGGCTGCGACGACTTTTCTGTCGCGACGCTCCGTCTGTGCGATGACTGTCGGGGCTTTCCTCCCCGCCACCACCTTCGCGCCGCCCTCGCCATCCGTTATAAGGTTCGACACTTCATGCATATCCTTCTCCATCGAAAAAAAAAATGTTTATCGCTGTAAACCGGCTCAGTATAGAATAAAAGGATCTACAGGCTAAATATAAAATTAGCTACTGGCCTTCCGCAGCACGCGACGGAGACGCAAACTATCGGATCGCGTACAGACCTACTTCACGCACGAAATACCAGATATGATATGATCCTAATGACACTGAATCATCCTAGTCTTCAATTACCAACGAAATACGTGAGCCACGTGGCTAGCAGGTTCGCACGCAGATTACCTAACTATCACCTGGGGAAAAGGCGGGAAACTAACAGCAGCCTAACTCACACAAGTCAAACTCCTAGGGCTATCGAGCCGCGTGGTTCAGGGTAAGCACGCAGAGGGATGGGAAATGCCGCGTGGGTCATTTGTGTGGTTGCAGAGCAGCGAACGGTGTCCCACGTGGTCAGGTCACGTGTGTCAGACCGCTACGATTGGTCGATTTCCGAACTAAGAAGGGCACGAGTTGCGGACGACCTGCCTATGTTGCTCGGCAGCACAAGCGGGGACAAACCGTGAATAGCTGTAGGGTACTGTTCCTGCATCGTGTCACGTCTAGTGTCAACTAGAGGCCCTCCTTGAACAATGCTATTGACACGAATACCTCCTCGAGTCAGGCGGCCTGAAAGCCATGTGACTGCGACCTACAAAAGTGAACCAGACTTTGCTCGAGCTACGATACAAGTTGTTGCTAGGTCATACACAAAAAATATGTAATCCATCAGACTTTGAAATATGTGTTCTAATTAGTGCAAATGTTCGAAGTGATTATTTAGACATGATCTACACCAATTTAAGCTTCCATGTAAATGAACGAAGTGAACACCCTGCAAGAACCACCAACGCATGGCAAGATAGCACAATAAACGTGTTAGTCAAGCTGAAAAAGGCTGGGTAAATGAAAATGACTACGCATTCTGCAAAGCATGAGCAAAAATCTAGTGTTATATAAAGTACACATGATACGCCACCTCTAGTGGTTGCATTGAACATGCTTACTGAAACATAGTCTGGAGCTAGTAGGAGTTGTGCTTACCAGAAGGATGTCATGTAGGTGATTGTGCCGAGGAACCCCATGGCGTTGGACCACTTGAGCAGGGTGCAGCTGTCTTGACTGTAACGCGTACAGCAGGGGGGCAGGGGAGAAGAGGAGTGGGGGGGCAGAGAGGAACAACGGTGCAGGGTCAGGCTAGTGGGTATGGCAGAGAGCAAAGAGAGGGAGTACATTAGAGAGAGGGAGCAGGGTGTTAGGAGGGGAAGGGGGGGGATTAGGGCAAGAGCCAAGGACAGTAAGGAGCGAGGGCGGGGAGGGACATGCACGACTCTGAGGAAGTTGGGAGAGTAGGAGTTGCAGATGCGGGATGTGAAAGAGGTGAGGGGGAAGAGGCGAGGGGGAAGAGGTGAGGGGGAAGAGGTGAGGGGGAAGAGGCGAGGGGGAAGAGGTGAGGGGGAAGAGGTGAGGGGGAAGAGGTGAGGGGGAAGAGTTGAGGGGGGAAGAGGTGAGGGGGAAGAGGTGAGGGGGAAGATGTGAGGGGGGAGAGGAGAGGGAGAAGGGGAGAGGGGGAGGACGTAAGGGGGGGGTGAGGGGGAAGCGGTGAGGGGAGAATGAGGACAGCAAGCAGTGAAGTAGGAGGGGGACTCACACGAAGCCGAGGAGGAAGCTGGAGGAGTAGGAGTTGCACATGCGGGATGTGAAGGAGGCTGATGCGCACGACGCAGCAAACAGGAGCATCATCATCATCTGAAGGGGGGTGCGTAAGGGGGAACCCAGGGGTTGGCGGAGTGTATGCGGGTTAACCAGGGGTTGGCGGGGTGTATGCGGGTTAACCAGGGGTTGGCGAGAGAACAAAAAGGTACATTTTTTAGGCGCGTGAAAAGATGTGCACGATGCGGGGAACAGGAGCAGCAGCAGCATAATCTGACGCGGGAGTCTGCTACGGAACGAAGGGTTGACACGGGACGGGGAATGGAGGGTTCTTTTGATGGCTTTGTGTCGACTCGAAAATCGCCTATCGCCGCGCACGGCGCGTCGAGCAGGAGCATCAGAATCATCGTCTGACGAAACCAGGTTTGGCAGTGGGAATGCGGGAAGAGGGGTCTATTTTAGAGGCGCCTAAAAAATGAACAGGAGCAGCAGCAGCATCGTGTGACGAAAGCAGGGTTGCCGGTGTAAATGCGGGACGAGCGCGCAGCATGTGACGAGAGACGGGGATTGCCAGCCGGATACAAAATTACAAGATACCAGCGCAGCATGTGCTGCCAGCAGCAGCATCAGGCGGTGTGGGAAAGGGGTGTTTATGCGTTATTCAAGAAGTGGACTTTTCGTTCTACCCCCTTTCCCCTTGTACGAACGATCCACTTACGAAGCTGCAGAAGAGCTGCGAGCCGAGCGAGTCCATCTTGACCCCCGCGACGGCGGCGACGTGTACGAGCATGTGGATGAAGGAGAGGATGAGCCCCGTGACGCCCGTGCCGAAGAGAAACGCCGTCACGTTGATGCTCCTCCAGGAGAAGTTGAGGTAGCAGAGGATGCTGGAGAGATAAGCGGGGGTGGGAAGGCGGAGGGAGGAAGTGGGGGGGGAGAAGGGGGGAGAGTGCGCAATGAGAGGCGCAATGAAGAGGAACGCCGTCACGTCGATGCTCTTACAGGAGATATTGAGGTAGCAGAGGATGCTGACGGGGGAATGAGAGAGAGGGGGAAGAAAGGGGGAGGGGGCGGGTCGTGGGGGGGATGGGGGGGAAGGGGGGGGAAGAGGAAAGGGAGTGGATAATGAGATGCGAAATGAACAGGAAACTCGCGACGTTGATGCTCTTCCAGGAGAAGATCAACTTGGCGGGGGGAGGAGGGCAGAGGGGGGTTGGGTGGGAAGGGGAGGGGGGGGAGGAGCGGGGGGCAGAGCTACGCCCCATTTGGCGCTGCATTTACCCTCCCGGGAATCGGGGAGGGCGAGTGGATACTTGAGGAAAGAGGCGCGCCCACCGTGACGAAGGGACGCTAAGAGGGACGCGCGGGGACGTGAAGATGCGCTTTTAGATATTTGGTATCTCTCAGGGGCCTCGGAGCGCGATAAATTGTCGTTGAATCGAACCGCAGTGGGCAGAGAATGCAAAACGTCAAGAGAGACGGAATTACTACCGTTTGCGAGGCAAAATTGCACGAAAGATATGCTTTTCAAAGTCGCTTCCTCGAACATATACGTTCTCAAGCGTCGACATGGAGAGAGCAAGAGTGGCTGGAGTGTCGTACGCGAAGGTCGCGGAGCAGAAGCAGCATTCGAGGAAGCGCAGCGCGATGGGGAAGGCCTTAGCCGAGGAACCCATGGCTCCGTGCGAGCGACAACCACTACAGGTAAGGCAGAGAGGCCGACGGTGACGAGAAACGACTGGATGTAGAGAACCTTTGCTAGAGTGGAGTTAGATTATTGTCGAAAAAGTCAAATTGAAGCTAGAAACACGGGAGGGAGGCAAGAAAAAGTACTGCTGCAGCAGTGAGTTGGAGCGAGTATGCAAGGAGGTCGGAGTGAGGGAGTCAATGCGGTGGACTGTGGCAAGAAGAGGGAGGGAGAATGGCTCGGTTTTGGCAGGGACAGCCCCAAGATGGAAACCAAACTTTCGGGACTCGGGCAGCACTGTACAACTGAAGTCTAACTGTGCGCGAAAATGCGCCAGAATTGCGCCGTGCAGAATGGAGGCGTCAGAAGAATTGCGGGCCTAGGCACGTTGGTGGGGAAAGGCGGTTCGGCTGGGCTGTTGGATATTGCTCATATCCGTCGATTGGAAGTGCAGATGATCGGTTTGGACGGCTGAAGACTGAAAGAAAATTGGGCACCGCCAACACGGAATGGGGCAACTGGGCTTTATTTTCCTTTCGTGCCCCGTACAGTAGTGCCCCTTTTGTACAGTATCGACAAGTTTTAGCGCCTGTTCGATCCTTTGTCCCCAACCCACAGCACAGAGCCTCCAAAAATTTCGCACCACTGGGAAGAGCGGAACCAAACGGAACCTGACGAAATCAATTAGAACCAAAAGGAACCAGGCTGATTCGAACCAAAAAGTAGTTCTCTGCCAGCCCATAACCGAAGGGAGCTGTTTTTCTACGCGCCAAACCCACGTTCTTGCGCAAAGGCCTAGCGCGGCGCGAGCCTGCCCCTTTCAGAACATTCTTGGTGTACAGTTTGCAAGAGTCGAAATTTCAGCAGCAACTTTCCCTTCCCATCTCCTCTCCCCTCCACCCACCCAATATTCTCGCCTGCTTGCTGTAACCTATTTGGCAACTCCTGCTTCTTTTGTTCTTTGTGTAGAAACTACGACGATTCGTGTGCGATTGAACTGGGAAACCTTGTTTTGTCTCTCGATCACTTGGCGTGAATCGCGTGTGTGCTTCTTTCGCTTCACCCGGCTCTTTGGTGCACGACGCGAGTGGTAGCCATGGCAGAGGGAAAGGACCGGAGCTCGTCGTCGTACCTCCTCATCCCCATCGTGCTGCGCTTCCTCGAAATATGCTTCTGCATCGCATCCTTCGTGTACGTCGCCTTTCTTTCGTGAATGTCGCCGGTCGTTCGCGGATGTCGCTAATCGTTCGTGTACGTCGCGAACC